ACCCAGCAGTACATAAATTAGAGGGATCAGTGTGCTCTGGGAAAGAGGCTCTACCTGAAACTGGATAGTGTTATCATGCTAACAATAGAAAGCAACAAAAGAAAAATGAAACTTCCAGCATTAATAGTGTCTCATTCTAACATCAAAAATTATTCCTAGTGACTTAATGGGCCTTAGGGCACTCCTTTATGTGTCTTCAAGAGTGAATGGTCAGTTATAATCAAGTCATACTCACTTCAACAAACCAAACTGGAGGATGAGTGTCAACAGCTGTTGAAAAGTTTTCATCTGGCCATTGTCAGGAACAAATAACCAACTGGTGGGTTTTGAGTGGAAAATATTGGGCCAGAAATGGATGTTGAAAAATTTCTTTTCAATACTCAAATTTTAAAAAGGAGTGGAAATTCTTATTAATGGAAAATGGGACAGCTGTCTCTTTCTTTTATTCTTCAAGGAAAACACCAAGCCAGGATCTCTCTGTGATGTTTTCATCAGTTCTCTAAAGACCTTTATTGTGCTTCTTTTCCTTTTTTCTGCTACATCCTGTCACAAAGGAGATCATGCAGATGTGGCAGCAGTTGTACTTAAACCACGTAGTATGACTTGCAGGCCTTCTGTAGGGTTTTTTCCCCTCATTTTAACTCTCCTGGGGTTATCATACTCAAACTGCACCTCAGTGTCCCTGTGCATTGCAATACTTAGTAGCTGTCTGACTGAACATAACAAACATGCAAACACGGATTTGAGTGATCCTCTGTTCCATACACACCCCTGCTTGCCAAGGGAACAGTTCCTGAGAAAAGCCCAAGAACAAACAAAGATGTTGTTCAGTGGGCTAATCAGGGTCTATGGCTTGCACAATAAGGGGAGATGCTACTTGGCAGTTGAGGTGCACCTGAAGAGATCCCTATACAGAGCAAGAAATATCATATGTGTTTAATATATGGGGTTTCAATGGAAATAAAAAATGCTTTGAAATGTTCTTATCAAACAAAATGAGAGTTCATTTTCTCTAATTTATATTCTGTTACAAAACCATACAAATATTAAAATGTTATAAAACAAATACTGCATAATTGCATGACTTCTAATTTGTTTTCTGCTTAATTTTTGTGAAATGTTACTTCCTTCAATTTTGTAACTTTGCACTGAATAAATGCTCTGTTAAATATTTGCCCGAAAGATGTGTTTTCAGATCTTCAGATCAGTCTAAAACTGTTAACAAACAGGCTTCACCATCTGCTCCATTGAGTTTCATTTGCTCTGTGTGGCTGCCATTTTTGGGTAGATCTTCTTCACAGCTTTCTCACAATCCTGTGGCTTAACTGTTCTGGAAGACCTGGATTTAGCTGCCGATGTTTTATGACATTAATGTAATTTTTTGAAGAATGAATGGGATCCAGCCATTGGACCTTCTTCTGTGGGCTTTCTTAGTTGTTTCCTATTTTAAAATAGGAATTTATCTTGCAGGAACTGTTTTACAGTTGCTTGTGTGATTGAAACTTTTCTCTGTGTTCATTCTGTGATACAAACTTTTCTTTCTGTTCATTCAGTATCACTTGCCAGTGCTGTCATTCCCTCTCTGATAAATGGTGCAGATAATTTTATTTTTTTTATCAACAGATACATAAATATGACTTGTCTACATGTATTCTATTATCAGTTGTAGAGAACTTTACAAAGTCAGAGTGTTCAAAGCTTTAAAGTCTAAACTACTTCCTGGAGATTTTATAGGTGACTGTATTTACAAATTCCAGTGTTCTTCTCCTGAGGAGCTAAAAGTTCACTTTTACCAAGTCTGATGTGCTCTGTTTGCCCCTGTCAGAATAAACTCAGTTAATTTCTTGATTGGTAAATCAGACTTTGGTAAATCAGACTTTGAATTCAGAAGGCAATATGAGTTTCAAAAGTCTGAGTTTGGGGCTTTATTTTATCTGGTCAGCCACTGTCCAAAAGAATGAGAGAGAACTGGTTGTCTTTGTGCACTTCTCATTGTTATTCATTGGCAGGATAGTCATCGGAGGGTCACATTAAAGTTCATTCAATCAAAGCTGTGGCAGTAGCTATAGTCTGCCTCAGGTCACTTCCATCTCCTGGGATTTGTAGGGCACTACCTGAAGTTATTTGCGTAATTTTATGTTGTGTTAGTGCCTTGATTCTTTGTCGCCGAGATTTCAAAGGAGCAAATCTGTATCTAGTGTTTTACCCCAATGACAATCTGGTTATCTCTTATCTTTCTGTGTTATTGCAACCATTTGTATGTATTGTCTGGTATCTTCCAAGTTCATTTTCACTTAGCTGTTATCTATATGTAATATATGTTGTTATCTTTATGTTAGTGGTTATAATTAGGTTTTTGTATTTCTCTCTTCATGTGGTTATTTGCTTGTGTGCTTGTAATTGTCGTGGGAACCTCTGTCTTTACTTATGAGATAATCTCTGAATGAACTCCCTTGTGCTGCAATAGTTGTTTAAGTCAGGATGAGATGAATGAGTTTCAGCCAAGAAGTATCTATGGTTTTCTTCCTTGAGAGTAAATGGATCCCAGGTCACTTGTATCTGTATCTAAATTGGTTAGTCTGCATGAATCTGAACTATGCCTTAACTTTTTTATCTGTGTATGTTGTCCTGATTTTGGCTATGATAGAGTTAATTTTCTTCTGAGTAGCTGCTGCAGTGCTGTGTGTTGGATTAAGTATGAATAATGTTGATAGATGTGATATATACATGTATACAGCATCATTATCTTTATTATATCTATTATAAACATATATAAATATAGGCATATATATCTGTGCACATGCACACAGAAAAATATCTGTATATTAAGCCCAACCCAGTTTTGTTACTTCCATTCCAGTATCATTTGCAAAGATTTTTATGAGGCTATTGTACAGGAATCATCTTGATTTCTAGTGTTTATGTGTTTAATTTTTATATGATGTACACTCCTGGATGTTCTGAAGAAGAGGTACCCAGGAGGTACTTTTTAGTCTTGAGGACGGGGAAAAAAGGCATGAAAACTCACTGCTGTGTGGAACGTTCTGATTAGGAATACATGAGGTCTATATATTGGTAATTAATTCCTCTCAAAGCTAAATTTCTAAACTTAAGCTGATGTTTTGGCATGTTTCGATGTAAAACCTTAGATATAAATGATGAGATGATAACCTAAATGTAATTTCTGGGCTATTTCTACTTTAGTGATTGTGAAGAGATTGTGAAACACTCATTTCTTGAAAGGGATGTTATTTAAAATACTAGAAATGGAAATATATATAACACAAACTGGTTCAAAAATCAAAATTTTGTATATTTTAATGGGAACTATAAAAGGAAATATGAGGTTACCACATCACAGAGGGGATATCTCTGAGAAAATAAATAGGAAAGCAAAATAATAAATTTAAAAAAAAAAGGCAACAAACAAAACATTGGTTTTTCTTGCCCCCTTTTCTCTCTTTGTTGAGCAAAACTTACAAATTGGAGAATTCCCAAAAGCAAAGGAGTTCTGTTCACACATCCAGTTTAAACAAACAGTCTCTTACCTGCTGCAAAACCTGTGGGTCTTAGCTCCTTCTTTATCCAACTAAATAGAAATTTTTGTAAGAACTGGCTGTTTGGCTTAAATTAATTTAATAGCCACAAACACACTAAGTAGCCTACCAAAACTGCAGTGGAATTCTAGCTAATTATTCCATTGCACATGTGACATGAGCAGAGTTTGCAAAGAAAATTAATTTAGTTTAGTCAGTGATAAATTTTGCCGTGACACATATAAGTTCATGCTGTACTTTATTATCTAATAGATTTTTCAGCATCATGTAAGGAATAGATATTTCAAATTCCCCTTAGGGAGAAACAGTATGATATGATTTGTCAGGAAAGTTTTGGATCGCTAGCACAAATTAATAAAGTTTTGGAATAATTCAAATCTTGTGGATTTCTATTTTTTTGAAGGTGCTTTTCTGAGAAAAATATTTCTAATTCTGTTGAAGCTATCATCCTGTAATTTTAAACTGTGAATAATATATTTGTGGATGATTTTGTAATGCTACTTAGACTTCAGACTGGCAGTGTTTTTGTAAATTTTTGGGATAATGTGTGTTCATCTAGTTGTCTGAGATGATAAAGAGTAGGATCTAAACTTTAAATCATAGAGAAGATCCGTGACTTTCAGTCTCCCCTCCTTTCCACATTTGTTCTGAGAGCAATACCTTGGTGAACTGTGTCATTTTTTTCAGGGCAAGGTGTGCAATTTCAATTTGTCCCTAATTTCTAATTGTGGTAAGGTACTAAACATGGGAGCATACATGAAAACTTAAAGGCTTTCTTGTTGCTCTTACTTTGAACATTTAAAATTCTAAGAATTAATGTTAGCAGAGTGTGGGCTTTTTTAAGCTCACTCTGACTTCTAACTAGCCAATGTCTTATCCAGGGCTTTGTGTGTTGTATTAAACTGAATTTTGGGTTTGCACACAGAAATGAGAACAAAAATATGGTTTTAATTGTAAGGTTATAATTTTCCTCTGGAGCCCCTGGTGGTCTAGTGGTTAAGGACGCGGCGCTTTCTCCGTCGAGGCCCGGGTTCGATTCCCGGTCGGGGCCCCTCCCCGGGCAGATGGAGCTCGTTAGCCCTGTAAGGCAATCCATCTACATCCTGAGGACCTCGCTGCCACTGTCCAAGCTTGCTTGGCCCCGGCAGATGAACCTCAGGATTAAAGGGTGGGCTCAGTTCCGCACACACTGTGTCTCACCTAAAAAAATCCAATGCGCAGGCTGGAAGGTGTAAAGACCTTCCCCGGATCTTCGTTCGCGAAGGCTGGTCATTATTATTATAATTTTCCTCTTATATTTCTTTGAATGGACTTGTAGGAGAACTTGATGGTGTTTGCATGGTGGAAATATAAATTTTCATTATATGATTGTTTCTATAGCATGCAAGGTTTCTGAAGGCTGATGATATTCTAACATTTTGATTGTAATTTTTGTTTTTAAAGGGCTCTATGAGGAGGTATACGACAACCAGCTTAGCTTGGCCTGCTCTTTCAAAGACCCCGAGGACAAATGGTTAAGTGATTACTTTTATGAGCAATGCTTTAACACTGCTCAATTAGTAAAAATTGATGGTGGGAAGAGAAAGGCACAAGCACATGTAAACATGGGCCTCATCAATGAGGGACAAGGTAAGTCACTGAGATTATGAAGCTACGTTGCATCAGCCTTGAGATGGCTATATTTGGCAATTTATATTTCTTCCCAGGGCACAATATTTCAATGTTAATTTGTTTTGGAACCAAAATTTCAAGTAATTTTTAAAACAACGGTTGCAATTTCAATTTTTGGAGCATTGAATAAAAAGGCAAAGAAGTCTGTAATTATTCACAGACCCAATTCTTCTGACATTCTGTCTGCAGTTGAAGTACAGATGAAATACAAACACAAGTTTAAAGGGAGCATTTTTTTAGTACAAGGGCTCTTTGTGTTGGACATGATTTCTTTTTACTTATTTTTGACAAGAGAACAGTAATGCTGCCTTGGACCACAGGTGTTTGAGTAGGATGGCATCTGTAGTTACACAAACTAGGTTTATTTAAGAGGTAATTCAGAGGTAATTCAGTTTAATCCTGCTTCCAGTTTATACTTAGATAAACAGTATATATTTTTGTGTACTTTTTTAAAACTGCCTTCTGGTTCTTTCTCTTGACTGAAAATGACACCCTGTTTCTTTGTATGTAACTGCCACATCGGTGTTTGCTTCAGACTTACGCCTTACCACAAGCTCCATTTCTCCATCCATGCATCTGTACCCTTAGTCTGTACTTCGGAAACTGGGAGTTTCTGAAATTAGAAAATGTATTAATAGGAGTAATTAGAATCATAGCACAGCCCAGGCTGTAAGGGAGCTCGAAAAATCATCTGATCCAACCTTTCATGGGAAAGGGAGTCTGGATGAGGTTATTTTAGCACCCTGTCCAATCTCATCTTGAAAACCTCCAGTGATGGGGACTCTGCCACATCCCTGGGGAGACTGTTTCAGTGAACAGTGGCTCTCACTGTAAACAACAGTACTTTCTTATATCAAGATGACCCTTGTTTCTGTATTTAAAAGCATACATTACCTTTCATGGCAGAGGGATTTGTGTGTATATAGCAGTCGGAGTATAAAAAAGGTGTTTTCCTCTGTTTGCATAAAATCCTTTCATGCTGTGGGAAGACAAGCAATAAGTAAGCCTCAAGTAATTGAATAAAACCTGTCTTCCAGTTCCAATTCTTAAGTGTACTGCATGCCTAACTATTGCTTAAAATATGTGATTTGTGTAGTTACTATGTTTTTGTTTCTAAATTTGACTGTGACTTGGAACAATTCCAGCTCTGAACTCAACTTGTGGCTAGATTCTCAAACAGAATGGCTTTTCCTAAACAAAAGACGATTCACAGAAATTTAAATATTTTGTGGAAACAGTATAACTTCACTAAATATCTGACAGAATGGATATGTTTTGAAAGATGTCCTACTTTCCCAGCAAAAATCTGGACATAAAACATAAAGCCTGCAGTCTTTTTTAGTTTTGTTTTCTTTTAATTGAAAGGTTATTACCCTGTTTCATACCCATATTCTCTTAAAGCTGCAACATCACACCTTTTTTAATACTTCCTTACATGTTTTCTAGACTACTGGTCATTCATACAATTTTCCTGCGAACTGTTGCCATAATTTTCTTGCTTGCAGCATGCAGTCCTGGATTCAGTTTTAAAATTTGAACTCGCACCACAAATCAATAAACTAGAAGGATTACTTTTCTTGCACACTACATTTTTATTTGTGTCTTCAGGTATGATATCTACATTTTATGTATCAGCATGAACTGCATACTCATGTTTGGTTCATGACCTTCAGTAATCTCTAAATTATTTTCTGAAGAACTGTTGCCTGACTGTCCTGTTCTGTGTTCTGGGATCACCAGTTAGTTGTGCCTAAAGGCAATTTGTTGCTTTCTCTTTGCACTGAGTAGCATCCTTGAGTCTTGGTGGTAGTTTCTAGAAACTGTCAGAGTTGCTTTCATTTCTGAAGTTGTCCTTCAATGTGCTTTCTCTTCTTCCTAGTTTGGTAGCATTTGAACATTTAGAAAGCGTTTTTCTACCCTGTAATTCAGATCCTTTAATGAAAATACTAAGTAATAAACTGCATGTAGCTTTTTTCCATGCTGACAGCAAACTGCTGGTAACTAGTGTCTATATAGGATTTCCTAACTAATCTGTGCTCACCTAACAGTAGTTGCAGGTGAACTACACTCCCCTAATGCTGTACACAGGAGTTATATGACAGTGAGAAAGAATTTATTAACTTAAATGGAAGACTGGTTTGATGACATTTGCTCCTGATATATTGACATTGGCTGTAGTATTTGGCTATAGTATTATCATGTTTTCTCCAAATGCTTGGTAATAATCTGATTATTTATTTATTTCAGTGTTGATTTTTTTCTAGGAATTGAAGTTAAGCTAAATCCAGTTTCCTGGTAGATAAGATAGTACTTGCTTAAAGCCCACTGGGTCACAACCAAGTTATTTTCATTTTGAGTGAAAAATACTTAATTAGGTTTTCTGTCTCTTACTCAGTAAAATAAAACTATTGAATTTGCTGATTTGGGGGTTTTTTGCAACCTTTTCTCTTGGTCTTTCTATTACTAAAAATAAAATTAAAAGGAGATGCAGAAAAACGAATATTCATATCTACTTGTAACTTCAGAGGCACATACTGAGAATGACTCACTACTGTTCTTCAACCACTGCCTAAAAAAAAATTTTTAAATTTCCTACTTTTAAGATGTGTTAAGAAAAGGTTATTGAATACCTAAATATCTTGAAGCCAATTACAAAACCCCATAAAGTTATGAAATATACTGAGATGATCAGAGGAGAGGAAATTTTATTTTCCTGCTGTAAAATATCAGAAACTTCTAGAAGAGAGGCTTTTATTAACTTTAGTAAAGAGATAAAGCAAGGTGCATTTTCACTGCCCAGGGTAAAACTCCACTGTATCTGTGAGGTCTGCTGTTGCAGATATTTTCTTTCCATAGGGAGGGAGAGTAGAAAAAATGATGAAGCTGAGAGAGTAAGCAGGATTTGCTTTGAGGTACCATTGAGAAAAAAGACAACAGGTATATTCCATGCACTTTGTATTTTCAAGGGTGAAAAACTGATTCAAAGGTGAGTTCTGATTGCAGAAAAAGTGTAATAGCAGATGTTGGGTTGGCATTGTATAAAATTGCATGAGTGTTAATGGTGTTATAAGTAAAACTTTTAAACATGCTATTTTTATATTAGGACAGAGATTCAGCTTTTTATACACCTTTTCTGTTCAGTCATCTATGATGCTGTAATCTAATTTGTGGTCTGAATGAGTCACATGCCCACTTCTACGGAGTTATGTACAGGACTAGATACACATTTCTATATACACCTGTGTGTGCATTAATATGTGTGTGTGTGTGTGTGTATAGAGTTATATATATATATGCACACACACATAGGAATATGTACATCTACCAATATAAATAGATGGAGATCTGTGTAGGTATGTGAACGATGACTAACATTAATGAGATACTTCACCTGGTTTAAATTGTCATATCTATGTTAACTGCTTTGATTAATAGTGCAGCCAGGAAAATAAGTGAATTTTGCAAGAATGAAATTAGTCTTACAGACATACATGTGTGCATCCTTTTAGATGTAAATATCCCCTACCAGTTCTTTTCAGTTCTCTCATCCTATACTGTATTTTTCATTACTTGGGAAAGGAAGCTGTCTATATATGCTTAGAACTGATTGCTTGGGAGTATAAAGTTAAACATGTACTTGTAAAGATTGTTGTTTGCCCTGGAAGAAAATCAATAAATTTGCTGGGTAATTTTTGTGTAATCAAATTTAAAGTTCCTTGACTTTTAGCCTGGTCCCTGTCCTAGAGGCTGGATATAATCTGATGTTCATTAATCTTCAAAGCTAAATATTTGAGGTGTGGACTTCAGTCATGATATTTGGATGCAGGCAATTAGTAGCTGCCAGGTAGGGAAAGGAAATAATAGTAACTGAGTAGCCTGCTACAGACACAAATGGAACATTCTGCTTGGAGCAAACATGATTTTCGTGGCATTTCTTCACAGAATGAGTTTTTTAACCCCTTCCCTAAAGTACTCCATTTGTAAAATAAGGTCTCTGTTTACAAATTCACTGGTTATTGTAGGAGAGTTCAGCTTATGATACTGTTCAACTAGCTGTGCCCACTCCATAGTTTGTCTTTCCTCAGAGGGCTGATAATAAGTTGGTTTATTGCTTTAGTTACTCATTATTTTACTTGAGTTACTCATTTATTACTTTTCTCATATAGTTCTTAAATGTGCTGGTGTCACTTTGAACATATTGAAAACATAATAACATATTAAATATATTTTCTCACATTAAATCCAGCATTACTTGTCTTCCAAGTAAGCAGTCTTTGTGACAAAATCTCTATTACGTAAAATCAATTTTAAAGAATATTTTTCTTTTTGTGCTTTGAATGTGGTTTCAGAAGTAATATCTGTCATTATAAATGTGTGCATTTTTCTGCATGTCAGAGAATAAGTTTATAATCATAATTTGTGAGAGTTAGATTAATATAGTGTACTTGCTGCCAAAGTTAATTGTGAACTTCGGGTTTACACTGCTGTATCTTGCAGAAGAAACATTTTGAGTGTACTAATAAACATAATGGCTAATGCTAGTTTGTGTCAGTATTAACTGCAAAGTTTGAGTGCTTTCTGTTGTGTGTTAAATGGTTAACACCTATATACATGAAGTGATGTGCACCTTAGATATATGCATCCCAAAGTTTCAGACAGCTTATGTTTGTAAAAAGAGCAGTCTGGGGGGAAACAAGGAATTTGTACTTGTGGTGGCTATTTGCTTCAAATAGATTATAAGAAAATTAGATATATTTCTATTGAAAAGCGTAATAAAAACAGACATCTGAAAGTGTACTTGTTCTAAAAGCAGCCCTCAAGACCCACTGAAAGTACTACAGAGATTCTATAAATGTTTATGTATGTGCATGTATGTACATGGCTACATACACATGCATATATATGCACACACACATTCAAATATAGCCACTGCTTTAGATGCCAACATTTTGATCTTA